ACGGCCCAGAGCCTCGGGACCCTGCACCCATGTGGGAGACCCGGAAGAAGCTCCTGGATTCTGGCTTCAGATCATGAGTAAACCAGTGGACAGAGGTGCCTACTGTCTCTCTCCTCTCTATAAATTTGACTTTCCAATAAAAATAAATAAATCTTAAAAAAAAAAAGACCAGGGAAAGTGACACAGGTAGGGCCCAAGGGAAGTGAAGCGTTATTAACAGACATTAATGAATTGATTAAAGAGAAAATATTCTGTTCCAGGAGGCTTTGTGGAACCCATGAGCACTTCCTGGTTTCTAGTGGGAGTTTCCATTACTTTTTAAAAAGAGAGCAACTTTGTGGAGTCACAGTTCATGCTGAACTGTCTTTACAGAGTGTACAGCAGTCACTGCTGGAACCTTCCTGTCACCTGCCGGAAGTCCTTGCCTTTACAAAGCAGATGGAGAAGCTGGGGAAAGAGCAGCTGAGATGAACCGGAGCTCCTGAGGTAAGGATTGGGACCAAGTGGAGGAGTTGGAGCGATCCACGCTGTGACACCAGCTGCTGCTTGGACAGGGAGCTGCTACAAGGAAGCTTGGCTTCTGTTTTCATTGGAGACAAGCAAAACCCTGGCTTCGGGAACGAACGAGAAAGATTGAGGTAAAACAGGAGGTGGTGGGAGCCCCAATGTTCTGGCAGTGATTATAAATTGCTGGGTTATGCTGCCCTTGGGAATAAAACCAAGGAACAGTCGTCAGGGTGGGGGTGGAGCTCTGAACAACGGGTCTTCTCCGATTCGTGGTATTGGTTACATGATCAGGCATCCCATTGGGCCTGGCAGAGTGCCTGCACTGTCCAGGACTGGGGGCGGAGCTGGGCGTGGGAGGGGAGGGGAGAGACTAGGCTAGCAGAACCCTGTTTATTAGGGAGAAGCTTCCAGAGGGCCCATAACATGCCGGGTGAACAACAGCTCTTTGGATGCACGACAGGCAGGATCAAATAGTCCTTTCCAGTAGGGGTCAGGCTTGTGTTAGGAAGCCAGAAAACATAATGGGGGCATCAGAGAGCACCACTGCAAGACCCTCTGGCTCCTGATTGGGTTTGTTGGCCAGGGATGTTTTGACGTCAGGTATCAGCTAAGCCCCAGAGACAGTGATGGCTCTGCCTCAGAGTCATTGCTGCTGCCTCATCGCTGCACCCCAAAAACATGGGGCAACATCTAGAGGCATTTTGATCTCCCTGAGAAGAGGCCAAGGATGCACAAAAGATTCAGTTGCTGCTCTCAGAGAACTCATTCTACTCATCAGGCGTTTCTTAATGTGGCTTGAAACATGTCCCGATTTCTGCCTTGAAGAAAAAATCTTCAAGCTCCTTATTGGAAGCAGCCATAAAGCAAAACCACATTCCAACTGCCACTGATGTAATAAGGGTTCATTGCCTTCTTACTAATAGCCTGGCTTACCAAACCATAGACTTAGCGAGTTATTGAGCAGGAGAGGACTATTTCCAGGTGATCTACAGAGTGAATCTACCGTTTTCTTTGAGTGTGTGTGTCGCATGCACTACAGTTGAATGAGAAATAACCTATAGGGCGAGCTCATGGAGTAAACCTCCAGATTTCGTCTCTTTTGACGCAGACTTGTTGGCAGTCCCGGCAGGACATAGCTGAAACTCTCCTGTAGAAATCCTCTGGTGTAAGAACAGCTGCCAGGGGATTATTGCAATATTTTGGAGCTAGCTCTTTAAAGCACTCATATACTGATTATCAAACCAACAGATATGTTAATTAAAATAAATGACCAGTTTATTAAAATGACAGCCTAAGGACCCCAAGTACACCCCATTTAGTCTCCTGGAGGCAGGAGGGCAATGATCTGATCTTGTGGGGGTGAGCAGCTGTGGAAACGCCTTTTTAAATGAGTAATAAAGTCTTCCAGAAAGACCTCGAATGCTGTTTTCCTGCTGTTAGTTTTCAGCTTAGCAGCTTTGAAGTGTGGCTTTTAAAGGCTTGGCATCCCCACCCTCCAGCTTCAAGCATACCCTTTACCCTGGTGCCAAGTGCGCTGGGCGTTCCACCTCGCTGCAGTGGGCTCGCACATGATGGAAGGAAACCCGACATTCAGAGTGTTCCCGAGTTCCACCCAGGTCTGCCCCCACGCCCAAGGGCCTACATTCCTGTGGGCTCATTGGGCTTCATCCCTAATATTTCAGGGTACGCATCACCAAGTGCTGCTTTTTTGAGCTGTTGAGACTAAAAACTGAGAGCAGAAAACTCTTTCGCTGAGCTTCAATTTTCTCACTGGAAAAAAAAAATGCAAGCAAAAGCCTTTCCCACTCTCTTGCTAACTCTAATGTTTATGCAGATAGTGTACTGACATACTCTCTCACTGGCCTCTCGCCCTCCCTTCCCCTCCCTCCTTCCCCTTCCTTCCTTCTTTGTGTTTGAAGTGTCTACCACTGCAGACATGTTTTTCATGGTCAAAGTGTGAGAGTTTTGCCTGTGAATCTAAACAAAACTTTGCAGTGTAGAATTTTTTGTTTTTAGGTTACTGGAGAAGTTTTTTCTTTACATGTTTCACTTTCCACCCTCTCTGTTAGCTAGCTTTTCCTCTGCCAAAAAGATCACTACCCCTAGATCTGAATCTTGATGATTTTTTGCAATCTTTTTAAAGTCATTTTGGAACTGAAGCCAACTGAAGCCATCTTGACAAGCCTAACCAAACATCCCCATTGCTGAAGACTCATCCTATTCCCTAAACGACTCTGAAAATTTGTCTTTAGGCTGGTCAGCTCAGCACACTTTTGAGAAGACATGCAAAATGATGTCATGAGCAAAAGGCTGATGGAAACCCTGATTGGCTCAAACCTGGAAGCGGCTTACCCAGAAGCATTTGCCAACAGTGGGGAGCTAAGCATGACCACAGCTGCTAAATCCAACAGAAAAGCTGTGGAGCCTGAGCGTGCACCAGTGGCCTACTTGGTAAGTGTCATGGAGATGACGTGCCTCATCCCGCAAGCCAGTTTCAGGCTGATGGCATGGTCCTTTAAGGCTGGCAACAGGCAGTAAGCTGTCGGCTGGGGAGGGCTTATAGAACAGGGCACCAGGAAATGTCAACTCACTGGCCACAGCACTGATCCCATGTCTGTCTCCTGAGACCCTGGCTTGCCCACAGCCATGTTGATTGCATTCCCATTTTCAGTGAAGATAGATCATGGCACTGACCCAGCAGCACAACCCTAGTCCCAACCCAGCACGTGTGTGCAGCCTTCCCAGGTCACAGTGGATGAGCTGCCTGACTATAGCCAGCTCCGCATGGCAATAGCCTCTCCCCAGAGATACCAGTTAATGAACAGTAAGGCCTGAGTGGCCATGCCTCAGGATGGGTGTGGAGGCCTGTTCGCAGGGCTGGAGGCCCAGCTTCTACTGCCTCAACACTCTGGGAGCCCACCTTTCTTACCGAGTCTGAACTGCCACCCTGAGTGAAAAGGGTGGGTTCAGAGACAACAAAGAGAAATGTGTAAGATAACTATAGGCTACAGATGTCTTCCTTTCTACTTGTATGTTGCTCAGTGTTAAGCATTTGCTTCAAAAGGGCAAATGGGGAATCGCATTCCCCTGAGGTCGGATAAGCCCCAGCTCTCCCCTAGGCCACTGCAAGCTGCTGGCACTGCTGGCTGCGGTGGGAAAACTGGCCAGCGCTGCGTGGCAGTGGGAACTGCAAAACATGAGGCGAAAAGACGTCAGGGCAAGCGGGGAACGCCAGGCCCTGGGCACATTTGTGTTTGATTTGCAGCTAGAATACATGTGCCATGGTCAGGAAACATGGCCAGAAACTCATGCTGGAACTCAAAATGGAAAAAGGCTGGAGCATGCAGAAGCTGGAAGGATGGGGCCCGGCTGATGCTGTAGAATGAAACCAGGTTAGCCTGATGAGAAACAGCTCTTCGGTTACATTTCGAGAAAGAAATGGTCACACAGTGAAAAAGCAATTTGAGCAACACAGGCCAAGAGTGGGAGAAAGACACTCCCCACAGGCTGGATATTGCAGAGGCAGCTCGTACTGTTGCCCTATACATGCACGACCTGACCTTTGCCTTGTGGGTGTGGTTGCAGTAAGCTGCGCGTGGACTCATTGCAGGTGGCCGGGATGGGCTCTGAGTGCAGTGCTGTTTCAGACAGTATGATGTGCCACCTAGCAGCTCTGTGTTGCCCCTCCCTGGTGTGTCTGTGAGTGGGTGGGTTGCTGTTGTGTGGGAGGAATGTCATGGCCTTCCCTCTTCCCAGGTGCAGCAGGAATGAGCCAGACCAGGGCCTCTCTGCCTCCACACTGCCAACATCTCTGCTCCGAGCCCTTTCCTGGCTAGGGGTGTCCTGTGTATTGCCAGGTAATTAGCATGACCCCAGACTCTCCTCACTGGATGCCAAGCAGTGGCACTTTCCCTAAACGTGATACCCCAAAGTGCCTCCAGGCATTGCCAGATGTCTCCTGGGGAACACTGGCAGCCCCCTAGAACCACCAGGCTAACCCACCTTGAAATGGCTTCTTCTTGCTCCTGTCCCCCGCCCTGCCCACGCTACTGTTACTGTTCTGCAGTGGAAAGCCCTTTCTGGCCAAACGTGGGTGCGACAAGTGGACACAAAAGATTTTTTTTTCTTTTCTTTCAGAGATCTTGCCCTGTTTTGATCCAAGGACCATGTAGGCATAGAATTCTCTCCATCCAATAACTATGTAAACTGGAAGGGGCCTCAAGTTCTTAAAATTCACCCCCCAGCCTCCCTATTCTTGCCACAGCTTTACAGATGACAGAAAGTATGTGTGTGTGTGTGTGGGGGGTGACCTAGAGGCGGAAGAGATGTGCTCAAAGGCATCCGTATTCCTGATGGGCTTTTCTGGGGACAGAGGGCGGGCTCTGCCAATAGGCCCAGAGAGCTTAGGTCCCTAAACACAAAGCCAGAGTTTGGGCCCAAATGATGCCAATTACAGAATGCACATTTTCTAAATGACACAATGCTGCAACCAATTAGTGCAAACAAACATTTATTGTGAAATAGTCATCCTACCCTTTATTAGGTATTACATCATCAAAGCACTTTGTGGCAATGAAAATAGCTTCTTTTTAACCCCTCTGATTCACCCACTATTCCATTAAAGCTGCAAAAAATGTGCAATCTGCTTGAAAAATAGGTTGCTCTTATTTACTCATTTGTGAAAAGTCAAAAATTAAAAAAGAAAATGATCCCAGCTTCCAGGGCCTCTAAAGGCGACCCCCCTTTCCACTTCCCAACTAACCCCCAAATAATTAACAAAGATAATTTGTTTTAAATGCCTTTTTATAAAACCAATACACCTTTCCCCATATTATAATCATAAAAATGTTAAAAAGCCCTTCTTTATTTTCTTGGAAAAAAGGTGGCCAGCCGTTGTTTCTTGATTGGCAGTGTGTGTATCTCCTGGGAGTTCATTTTCTTTAACTTTATGCTCCGGCTTTTGACAGGCTTCCTAAGCGGCTCCGAGTTTCCCACAGACTCTTCTCCCACGCTGTGGATGTCGTAGCCCTGAAGCACGGCGTCTTCTCTTTTGAAGGAGAAGTTTTTGGTGGACACACCAGAGAGGCCTTTGATTTTGCCACAGAAGATGGTCGGCACAGCGTCTTCCACGGAGACAATGACCTTGGCTGCCTGGGACTCGCTTGTACTCTCAATGTTATTTTCAGCCTTGACCTCACCGCTGGGCTGGCTAGGCATCTCGGAGGCGGTGGCAGAGGCACTGTTGCTATGGCCATCCATTGGGGTGCCGGCCTCTTGGGGTGTGGCAGGGGCCAAGGGCTTTTCCGTGGCACAGGCAAGTTTCTCGAGCACAATGTGAGTGTGCCCAGGGCTGTGGGCTGAGTTGCTGCTGTCACATAGTGTCTCAGGGGTCGGCTCAGGTTTGCGGTGGGCAGCCAGCGACAGGTCTAGGGCTGTGTCTTCCTGGAAGACCGTGGGACTGGCTTGGCCAGCCTTCAGCCAGGGCGCTGCTGACTTCATGGAGAGATCCAGGGCCTCGTTCTCACCGCCCATCTTGATGACCGTGTGGCGGCTGAGTTGGAAGTACTCCTTGGGCTGTAGCAAGTCCAAGGGCTTCAGTTCGTCCTTTTCTAGGGGGGTCTGGCTGCCCTTAAAGGGGTGTAGGTTGAAGGAAGAGGGCGGCTTGGGGAAAGTGGGGTTGAACTTGGACTCAGAACTCTGAGGCACGGGGATGGGGATGGGGATGGGGACCGGCACAGGCAGGGGGACAATCACAGGGTAGGGCACCAAGAGGGTGGCAGGAGGGACCAGTGGGGACAGAGGGGAGTTGAAGGGCTGGGGCGGCACAGCGGCATAGCCAGGAGGAGGCTGACAGGGAGGGGGGCCGAGTGTGCCCTGGGAGGGAAACAGATTCTGTAGCACGGCTTCGAACGGCAGTGTGGGCTCCTGCGGCTGACTGGGGAGCCGCAGGTCCAGGAGCTGGGGCTGTGCATCTGAGTCCTCGGCTCCCTGGAAGAGGTTGTTGTGGATGGTGCTGGATGAGCAGGGTGCCTCCTGCGGCAGGACCAGAGGGGAGTTGAGGTGCTGGAAGACATGCTGCTCCAGCACCACAGGCAGCTGCACGGGGCCCTGCGTGGTCATGACGTATGTGGCATTGGCATTGGGATTGAGCTCTGGGGCAGAGCTGCCCTCCACCTGCATGTGGATGGGCATCACCACAGGGCTCTCCCCGAGGCACAGGGGCTGCAGCACGGTGGCCGCCACCTTCAGAGCCATGCCACTCTGGGACTCGGCAGGCGGGGTCAGAATAGAGGGGGCCGGTACAGTCACCAGGGCCTTCTTGACCAAGTCAGTGGAGTTGATGTTCCAGGCCTCAGTGGTGATGAGCTGGGCCATGCCATTCTCCAGTCTGTTATTGGCCAGGGCAGGAGGGGAATCAGTCATGTCCATGGGCAGATTCTGGGCCTGCAGGTCATCCATCACTCGACTCGGGTGCCACTTGACCTGCAAGATACAACATGAATCTTCCTTAAGAGAACAATTACACCTGCCTCCAATGCTCTCAGCACAGCTCTGCAGAATTACCATCTCTTCCCCGTGTATAGGTGCACATCGCAGATACGTTCTCATCTACATGAACACGCTAATGTGATCTGCTGTGCAAGGGGAGCCCTAGTTTAGCAGACCAGTAGGCTACCAACACAGATGAGGTAAGCATCAGACAGCCGGCTGAGGTTAGACGGGGTTTGTGGAAGCCAGAGCCTGAGGCTTCGCCTATGCGCTCAGGCCTTTGAGGAAAGCAGGATTTTGCTCCACGTGACTGTGGCACAGAGTCAGAATGTGTGGAGCTCTGATTTGCTCAGATGCAAACGAGCAGCCAGAGATTATTTTCCTCTAGGGACAAAGACGGCCTGGTCACACTGGGATGGTCTGTGAAGATGGGAGAAGGGCATCTTTGAAGCTCTTTGTTGCAGTAATTCTGGAAGTATTTGAAAATCACAAATGATCTCAGTATTTTTGAGAAACTGGGAGATATGCCAAGAGGAAGAGTGATGGGTTAAGCCCAGGGTCATCACAATGGTTTCATTGTCTTCCCAGGACCAAGGACACCCCATGTCCCCCGATCACAGGAAAACCCACTCTGCTGAGCAAGGTGAAGATGGCTGACGCACAAGTGGTCATTGGGCCCAGCACTGTTGTCCATCTGACCTGCAGCCTGTCTTACTGTGGAGCTGCCCGGAGAAGGTGCTGTCCGTGAGTCCAGGACTGGGAGAAAGGGACACACTGGCTTGAAACTGAAACCCGCAGAGGGGAACGCCCATCTCTTGGTGACCTTTGTGCCTTCTGTGGCATGGTGGCCACCTCCTGGAGGCTAGAACAGCCCAGCACGCATGCTTCCTAGAGGAAGCAGAGCTGCAGCTGCGCTATGGCTCTCCATGGAAACGTGTCCATAGTTAGCCCTGTTACCATGGAGAAGGCGGGCACCATGTCTGGCTCTGAGATGTGTATAGCCCCGGAGTCTGGTTGAGCTCAATAATAACTCAGTAAGCCTCCCTTCTGCGGGCCTACCTTGGGCAATGCAGAATCTTGACCTCACCTGTCCCGGCCATCTAGCGCTGCTGTTATCTCATCTCGCCCATCTCACCCCAGATCACCAACACACCCTCCCAAACAACAAAGAGGGGTGGCCTAGCATACCTCTCCACAGGAAGGCAGCTTTAACAAGTGAACAATTCTGAGAGCTGCAGGCATCAACTGCACAGAGTAAGCAGTTTCTCGGAGGTAGGGGGCAGGAAGGGAAAGGATGCCATGCAGAGAGCTTTGTGGAGAATGACTGACGGCCAACCCAGGGGCTGCCGAGGAGGGCTCCAGTGCATTCCGGACACCATGCTGTGTCCACAGTCCTTGGCAGCAGCGGTGGGATGCAGCCTGCCCCCACTAGGAGCTTGTCCCAGCTCACGTGCACGCCCACCTGCGTGCATCTAGTTAACTTACTGAATGCCACTGCATGCTGGCCCTTTGCTGCAGGCTACAGATGTAGGCATGGGTGAAACAGCACAAGGTTCTTTTTGGGTGGAGACTGTGGCCTGGTGAAGGCTCATGGCTGTGATCAGATGGGGGCTGGCTAGCACAAGTGGACATCCAGGCTGTGTGAGCAGAGGCATCCCTGCCAGGGCCCCACCAACCTAAGGCTTACTACAGAGGGCCCAATCTGTTCCTCAGGAAGTAGGAACAGGCTGAAGGGCAGCGGGGTGGGGCTGCTGAGGACAAAGGCAGCTGCGGCTGGACTTAGCACCTGCAGCCACCCCCCAGCCTGCAGGAGAAGACTTCCTGGGATGTTCAGGCTCTCCAGCTGTGTGGCTGCGGTCTCACACCAGCTGCCTCTGACGACCCACCCACCGGTGTCGGCCACCCTCCTTCCCTGGCTGTTGCCTCCTCCTCAGGAAGAGCACTTACATTTCTGGCTCCTCGTTCCACCTACCCCTTGCATGCACACTCACTGTCATGGTCCCCGGTGGGAGCCCGCTGTCCTTACCTGGACCCAGGCTGGGCCTGCTAACTCGCCCTGAATTCTCTTGCTGAGAGTGTGGGTGAGAGTACGTTGGCAGGGTGAGCAACCTTCCACAAGGGATAAAATGCACTGAGCCTTGGCTGTGTGCCAGGCCCCCTGCTGAGCACTTCCTGTGCATTGCCTGGGTCTATTGGAATAACCATGCTAGAGAGGTCCTTGAACCAGGCCCGTTTTGTAGAAGGGAAAAGTAAACTTACAGGGCAGTCCAATAACTAGCATAAGGGTGCCCAAGGGCTGGGCATCAGAGTTCAGGCCCAAGGCCAGGCTTCCTAGTTCCTGGAGGAACCCCAAGGACCACCTCTAGCCAGTAGCATTCTTCTCCTTCTCACAAGCATTTCCACTGTCCCCTCCGTCCCAGAGCTGCTGTCCCTGGGCAAGTGCAGCCCACTTCTGGCTGCCCCGAGCCTACCTTCCTGAGACATGTCACTTCACAGGAGGGCACCAGGCCCTGTGCTGGCACTGAGTCCCTAGCAGTGAGGCTAGCAGTGATGGGATGGTAGACAGGAAGGGTGCAGGAGCATGGAGAGCAGCTTACAGTCCTGGCACCAAGCTGTGCTTACCTGCTCAGCCAGGGCAGAGCGCGAGCACTCCCCTGTCCTAAAGAGCCACCTGCCCACCAAGAGATGGCCTTGCCTTCTGCCACCCAAGCTCTGGCCCGGGAGACCCAAGTGAAGAAAGCATGATGTGCCATTCCACACCCCCAGAAATGCTCTCCTCTAACTCCCACCTTCTCTTATTGTCTGCACCTGTTCTCTTATTGTCACCCCTGCCAGCAGGTAGGCCTTTGCGACATGGGCCAGCAGCTGAGGGACTGTGGGCGCAGAGCACTCACATTGCTGTGCAAGCCCTAGAGATGCCGTGACAATAAAAAGCAGCTCAGGAATTGCAGACTCACAGCGCAAGTCCTGTCCCTGAGGACAAGGAGCTGCAAAGGCAGTAATGAGTGGAGAGGCTGCAGAAGGCCGTCCCCGCCCCCAGGCAGGCGGGCTGGGGACCTCTTCAAAACAAGGAGCGTCCTGGCAGGAGGCGCCAATTAATGGCTAGTGCTCCTGCTGCCATGGAGGAAGCATGAGTTTCTTCAGAGGTGACAGGGGATGTTTTGTTTGGGTTTTACAAAAACATGATTTTCACATGGGTTTAAATGAGGTCACCCATCCAATCCGCCTGCACCCGTTATCACTGGCAGTGTGGCTGATGCAAGATGGGTGAGCTGGGTATGCATGACCCCACAGACCCTCCCTCACTTGGCCTCCAGCCAGCTGCTAGTGCAACCCACAGGCCCTACAAGAGGCAGCTGTGGGAAAGGCCGCCTGGCAGCTGGGGATGGACTGTCCAGGGGAGTGACGGGCCACAGCACAGTGCTCCACCCCATCAACCAGGACACTCTGGCTCAGGCTGCGCTGACTCTGCCTCAGGCCCTTCTCCCAATCTGGGTGTCTTGTAGGAGCCAGGGCCCCCAGCTCTGGTCCCAGGGATGCTCCCCAGCACCCCCAGCACCCTGCAGGTATGCCCTGCTCCCCTTCGCTGCTGAAGCAGCTAGGTTTTTCTATCAAATTAAAAGTCTCTCCCCTCAATCAGGCAGTACAGACAATCGATCCTGACAACTCTGCCAAGACACCTGCTCTCCAGGTGCACATGGCCAGCAGCTTGGTGACTTTTGCAGTGTGTAGGTCAAAGTCCTTTTCTGCTCAACCCTGGCTGGTCTTTGGCGGTCCTTGTGCAAAGCAGCAGCACCTGGGAGCTTACTAGAACTGCCACGACCCAGGCCCGCTCGCCTGGGCTGTGGATTTTTGCAAGCCGCCAGGTGATTTGTGCGAATATTCAAGCATGAGAAATGATGGCCTCCCATTGCCTCCCAGGCTTGGCCACACACTGGAATGGCCTGGGAGCCTGGACAATGGGGTCATGTCTGGGCCCACTCCCCAGGCTGAACCCAGGCATCTGAGTTTGCAGAAACTCCCTGGGTAAGTGGAATGTGCAATGAGAGCGGGAACCTGCAGCTGGCAGGCCAGAGCAGCAGGCAGCGGGCCACCAGCCTTCACAGTGCTTCCTCCTCCTGCTTCTACAGCGTGTGGGGAAGAACCCAGCAGCCCCCTGTGGGCAACCCCACCCCTGAGGCATGGCTGACGCCCCAGAGACCCCTGCGAGGAGTCCTGCCGACCTCTACCCACACTCAGTTTGCACTTCATTTTGTACTTTGCTTTTTTAGATTGGAAAGAGCAGCAGTGTGAGCATGTGGTGAGAAAGTAAGAGTGAGCACGCCTGTCTCCCCAGCTGTCTACTATCGCATGTTTGCACCAAGCCCAAGCCAGGAGCCACGCAGTCCATCCAGGATCTCCTATGTGAGTGGTGGGGAGTCAAAGACTTGGGTCATCATTTGCTGCCTCCCAGGCTCATTGGAAATAAGCTGAAGTGGAAGTGAGCCGCTGGGGCATCAACCTGCACTTTGCTGTCACGTGCCAACTTCACAAGTAGTGGTTTAACCTACTGCACCACAACAGTGGTCCCTCATTTTGTTTTCCATCTAGTATGTGAACTGCACCCTTAACGACTGGTCCAGTTCTGTGTTAAACATACCAGCCAGTCACTAGGAGCTGAGTTTGGGAAGCATCCTTTTTGTCCTTTCTACAGATGTGAACATGGCTTCACCATTAAGGACCTGAGATGCACTAAGTATCTAAGAGGTAATTCCAAGTGGGGGGGGGGGGCAGGGAACTGTTTTTGCTCTCCCTATAGGGTGTAATAATTGTCAATAACTTATCCTGGTGATTAAATTTCTGTGCTTTAAACATCAGCCTTATCACCAAAGATGAGAACATAATTATCATATGAATGTGTTCCCAATTTGGCTAAAAAACAAAGAATGTACAAAATAGTCACCCACCTCATAGGCTATTGCCTTTTACCTCCCGAGTCCTGTGCGGCCCTTCCA